TATAGGAAACAAAGGTGCTTTCATAAACAAGCACTGATATAAAATGCGCAGCCGCAGGTAAAATTTAGTAAACAAATAATTAAAACTGTCAACATTGCTTGGCTTATGCAAAAACATAGCGTGTGGAGACGATAGACCACTGAAAAGAGCATATATATGTACACCCAATGACCCCTGACATCACAAGGCATTGTTTTGCCAGTGTGTCAGGCAACAAAATACTACAAATGAGTGAGTGAGTGAGTTAAGATTTAACGTCACATCGGCAGTATTTCAGCCATATCGTGACGAGAAGTACATTAATAATACATAAATGTATACAACATAAAAAGCTGTCAACGATGGACAGTAAAATTACTAGAATATCACAGATTAATATTTAAAACTAGCATACAACTATAAAAGATATCACTATATATAACGGTACAATACAAAAAAGGGCTATAGATCGCCAGCAGCTGAAGGTAGATCACCATGCTAGGGTCCATGGAAATACTACAAATTACATCAGAGGGTATTGTGACCTGTTTGAAAGGTTTGTGGTACTGTATTCTAAAGGTAGGCCCAAGATTCTAGACAATCCAGTGATTGATATTCTGAACAACAATCCACGCTGTCAGATGGTCACTGTCAGATGCCATGAACCAGGTAAAATAAATAACAAGGTGCTGTTTTCACCGGGCAATACCACAGCAAGGAACACCTGACATGAACTTCACACATTGTACCATGCATGGTACCCATGACAAGAATCGAACCTTGTCTTCAGCACTTCAACCACTAGGCTACCCAAACGCCAAAATTCCCAACATGATAAAGTTGTCATCATGGTATTCTTCAACAAGTTCAAGTGAAAATATCCATACCTTTCAAATGTCTTATCTTCCACTTCACTATGTTCACAGTTGCGAAACTTCTGTCATTTAATTTGTTCTTGATTCTTGACACCTGCAAAAGTAAGTTTAGTCTATTAACCATTCTCACAGATTGGTGACTACCACAGATTGCTTTGACGGTACGAAACTAAGAAAATGAGTCACATTAGAGTATCTAGTTAAAGGAATATAAGTAGGCAAACATATTTCTACATCCTATATCCCCATTAGCAAGGATTAACATAAGTTAGGTAGATTGCTTATCATACAACAAAAAAATCACACATTTACTAACATATATAAAACTGAATAAGTGGCTTACAGATGATAAATAACTTTGATACGTGATCCATATTATTCACATATTCCTTACCTGAAATCCCGGTCTAAATCCATCGGAGCCATTCACAACGAGGACGTCAAGTATTTCGAAAACTCGATTGACAGCCGAAGGAAGAGCAGCTTGCGGATGCCAAGTACGTAGCAGGGCTTCGAGACATAATGTTCCATGATTTCTATACAGAGATCTTATGGAATGGATTGATTTAGATATTTTCCTGATCTCCATGTTACTACTGTAAACGTCAAGGGCCTTTTAGTTTTGTTGTTTTCGGAAACCTTTTGTTATTATTACAATCAAGCGTTTGTTGTGACATGGGATTTGGGCTTGCATAAGAGTTACAAGTGTAGGACTTTTAAGGGTCGTGTCCTTATTCTCAACATAACGCTGGGATTTGATGATACGGGTTAGTTACCAAGGGTATAAATCTGGAAAAGTGCATGTCATACAAAACGTGGCATTCAATTCCAATCATGTGTTGCCACCTGAACCACCTGAAAGTGAGATATGGATTACAATGAATAATCATGATAATGGCAGCTTATCAATCTTTAACAAATTCACACTGAAACTTTGAAAGGATTAAGACAAGTTAGTTTTTTTCTGTTTCAGCATGTTCAGGGTTTGTGGGGAGGTTCACAGACATCCTTAGGGAGGATACGAAGAGAGAGAGAGAGAGAGAGAGATTCTTTATTTCCTCCAGATGCGATTCCGAAGATTACAATGAATAATATATATTCAATTACACGCAGTTAACACAATAAAAAAAGGCACAACATATTTACAATTACACACAGTTTATCAAATTCAGATACCTAAATGATGACAGATTTTCACTAGAAGATATATATCAAAAGATGCCTTAGTTTGTACAGATACGAGGAGAACTGAAGTATAATAGTTTCCCAGGTGTGTTGATCCAGATTGTGAGTAAATTTTGTTTCAGCCCCAAATAAGACTGATAACATATCTGTTTCATCTTGCATTTCAAAATCAACATATTTTTGAACGTCAAGTACGTCAATGAGAGAAGAGAAAAACGCATTTCTTTCTGATATCAGCGCCTCACAATGTAAAATAACGTGGCTGTCATAGTCAAAAGCATGCCTATTACAGAGCATGCACTCTTTCGAAAGTTTACTACGTGATGAGACTTTCACACAGAGTTGTAAAGCAGGTCGATATTCCGGGTACAGAAAAGCTAATTGCCAAAGTACATGGTATGTTAATTTCGTATGAATTCTCTTATAACGGGACATGCTTGCGTTATTTGATACATTTGTGAGCCATGATTGTTCTTCGTATTTGCATATAGTTTCGTTAACACGATTTCTCCATTTCAATTTTGGAGGGAAAGTACCGTACTGAGTATATGCACGAAGGTAGGGACTCAGATTGTATTTATCAAGTGTTGATTTAAGATCTCCACAGATTGTCTTTGAATTGACAGGGCTTGCAATGGACGCGCAAAAAATATCTTTTGCAAAGTTATTACAGTTCAGATTGCATAAACGACCAAGAAATAAATGGTTTGCATTTATCAATATATGCAGTAATTGTCCAAAGTCCAAGGTTCGAAATAGTAGATTCTGAGGGAGATCTTGTATCAAGACCCTGTACAATGCGTGCAAAATATCTTTGCGTGCCTTCCAACAGAGCGGCATGTTGACCCTTGATGTCATAGAGTAATTCACATCCATAAAGGCTGGTTGTGAGTATCATTCTGAGCCATATTTTCACGCTTGAAATTGGATGAAGATCATAACTATTTAATCCTAAAGATCTTAGGGAGTTAATATTTTGTCTTGCTTTCTGACAGTACTTTTCAATTCTTGTTTTACAGGACAGATTGTATGTTAGAAGTATTCCACGATACACCGTAGAGTCAGTTGTAGTGATGTGTATATTACCAAGTTTACAATGACAGTTATATCCCTTGCGTTTTGCTTTGGTGAACACAATTATTGCACTTTTTGATGGATTATATGTTAGGCGCCACCTTGAGGCATATGTATGTACAATATCAAGGGATGTTTGTAAGCCTCTCGGTGATGCGCTAATAAGTGTAGTATCGTCGGCAAGCAAGACTGCAGGAATATCCATACCATATGCACGGATGCCACATTGTGCTTGTCTAAGGGCTGTAATGAGGTCATTTATAAAAACAAGAGGATAGGGAGGATACGAAGTAATGAGTGAGTATTTTTGTGTGTGATAATTACAAACTACATGTATTCATCATGGTATATTTCAATTCAATGTGAAAAATCACAATCACAATATTCGAGCTCTGTGATGGCGGCCTGTAAATAATTGAACATGGACCAGTCAATCAAGTGATTGTTATTATCAGCAAAGATCAATGCCCTCAGAGTATCATGACAACCTAGTCTGACCACTCGATTCATTAGTTGATTAGTGTTTGGATGTTGTTTTGCCGTTGTGTTTGTGTGTATGTATGAGTGTATTTAACTTAAATCATGAATCCTATACTTGTTTCTCTGTGCTTTTACAATGTAACCAAAATTTCCTTGGAAATAATAAAGTATTATCTTATTCATATCATTTCTGAACAAAGTGTCATATCAAGGTTAGATCTCTGTCAAAACAGTGCCATGGAAAAGCCAAACAAATAGCTTGGAAATAAAAATAAATACTGCATTGCATTAATTTGCATTTCAAGAAAAATTAGCAATAATTCATGGAATGATATTGACTTGGTGAGGATCTTTCTGCATTGTTGAACAAGTTAATCCCTATGTAATGTATGTGTTGAATGACCCTGACTGTGTTGTCAAAATATTGTTTTGACATTTGTTAAATATGGGGATAAATGTCATCTCTGAATGTTTGACATGAATTATTATAATTAGGGCAATTGTAAGTCACAACTGGGGTCTTTTCATTTGAATCAAATGTACAACATGTACAGTTTGGACATTTCTGTGATGTGAATGCAACTTATGTTTGTAGAATGTCCGGATGAATAAAAGAGACAGTCACCTGTGCAGCATCAATGCAAAGAAAGACCATAGAAGAGAAGCAATGAGGAACAAGTGAAGAGCAACAGTGAGTGATAAATATTTTGAAATTATTCTGTTTGGTTCATATGGTTATTTTGCAAATTTTTCTTCAATTTGTTCCTTATCCCTGTGGGCACAGATGTCCTATTATCTTAGGCACTACAATTTGCTGTGCAGAGTTGCATCTCTTGGGCTTAGCAGAAACCTATAGTCATGGGTTCAAATCCTGGTTCTCCCCGATTATGTTGCTAGGTTTGTCAGCGTTATACACATGCTCGTGGGATTCATCAAATACCTGCATCACTTAGGGCTTTCTTCCCACATCAAGCTAACAGGCGGTGATATATCTGGAATACTGTTCAAAGCAGTGTTAAACCCAACTCACTTATTTAACGCTGCATCCAACAATAGATTGGCTATATGACAAGAATTGTAAATATATATTTTCCCATGTTGATGAGTCGAAACAATCACTAAATGACATCTCTTAAAAATATTCCCAGCAGTCTATGCTTGCCATACAAGCCTAATTAATAGATCAGGTAGTGATCGAGTAGGCTCATTGATCGCATGTAATCATACCACAATGATGTGGGATATTGTCCATAACAGTTATCATCGGTTTGTCTGGACCGAGTTCATAACATTAATCACTGGTTTGTCTGGTTGAGATTTGAGATGTGATTATCTTAAATGTTTGGCATATAACAAGACTCACATATGATAACTTAAGTGATTTTGCTCCCTTCTATCTGTAAGTACATGTGGCAACAATTCTTTTTGATTGCTAAAATCTTTGTACATAATGCTGCAGAAACCGAAGTCCTGCTTGAGATCCCTGGATGAGTACTCCAGGTGGACAATCTGGAAGGACCAGATAAGGGAGTACTTAACAGAGTGTGCACCCCTTAAGATATCAGAGGTGATTTGCAGACAGGGATGACGAGGGTCCTGTTATTTCAATGGAGGCCGACCGAGAAGTTGTATGCCAAATGGTACTGGGACACACAAAGGCTGGTCTTGCTAATGTGAGAAGACCAACCAATGCCAAGCTGGAGTGGGATCCTTCCAGGACATTCAAGAAATTATTGTCTTGAGCCATGTGGTAAACACTTGAAAGGAATGATAAATGGGACTTATTGTCTTTCAATGTGGATCCAAACACCAAATGGAAAGTTCACAATTCTACTAACACAATGCGGCAGACATAGTCCAACTGGCATACCCTCATCCTGGTTCCTGTTCATCCATGGCAATATAGAAAGAAAAGGAGGATTGAGGGAAAGTAAGTTCTCTGAACTGGTGAACATTTTCCGTAGGTACTGTCAAGCGAACAGTTATCACACTCTGTGAGTTTTGAAGAATAGGATGAAATTGCATACTGCATCAGGAACCATCACGTGAACACTGTTCAATGTGCGATATACTATAGGCATATGAATAAAACAAATTGATAATTTGATTGTTGCTTATGTTTCATTTGCCAGCTGTGTAAATGGGGATGTTTCATGATTTTGCCTCAGTTTAATAGCCACACTTATCTTATGAAACCATGCATTGCTTGGGCATCTCAGGAATAAATAACACATGTTTCCTTAGCTCTGAGAACGTCTGATGACACATTGATCTGTTATGTCAAAGGTCAAAGTCACAACCAGACAAAAAGTTTGTTTGTGGTCTAACTCTTCCTTTTGGCAGGGGTCGAAGTTGGAAAAAGGTTGTGCGTGACCTATATATACTACATTTTCGCCTAAATTGCCTTTTCTGCAGAAATCATAGTAACTTTTATTCATATACTGGTTATATTATTTTCATATTTTTGTCAATGATATGTTGAATTCTACCAAAGGACTGCATATTTGGTTTATGTGCTGGAAAGCTCTTTGAAAAGTTTTTGAAATATTTATCACTGATATTGAAGGTCAAATTCACACTCCAAAGTGAAAACTCATGAAGGGTTGAAGTGTAAGATCAAGGCAATAGTAAAGGAGTCATTCATAAAGTATTTCTGCAATTATAACTAAAATGCCTATTTCTGGAGATATTAGTGAAGTATTAAGCACATAGTTATATTATTTGAATACACATATATGAGCATTGGTTACAACTCCAGTGTCAAATTAACTCTCAATCTCTTTTAATAAAAGAATTCACAGTAACTCAGGAAGAGCTCACTGTAGTACCATAAAACTAGGGTGAGGCAAATTTCAATGAAGTTAGCATTTTTGATATAACAAGTACATGTACCGTTACAAATAGTCTTATTATCATCTCACTAGGGACCAAAGGCCCAAGTGAGCACATTGTCAATGACTTTTTCTTTTTCTCAGTACAAACTGGAAGTCTGGACATGAAATTTAAGGATATCACTATACGAGAACTGATGTTTGTTCATTAAATACCATTAACATCTGAAAAGAACAATATTTGAAATTGAACAATTGTCTTCTCCAAAAATGTTTTAGGAGGATATTTACCATTAAAGTAACACAGAATATTACAACAGCTATCTGTTATGCACAGGCTAACATTATTTACCAGAAACAAGACATGAAGAAAATTTGCATCCGGATACCTTCCGGAAACCTACCAGATGCCTTCAGCACCCCTTCAAATTTCTTGGTATTTTCAAGATCATTTTTTATGTGTTTCACACTTAAGTGAACAAAATGCACCCCCCAAATTTTGACATTTTTTTGGAAGGTTTCCGGATCCAAAATTGGTAGGTATCCGGAAGGTTTCCGGAAGACGGAAACCTACACTTTTTTTGCTGTGGTGGAGTGTGTACCATGGCAGACTGGGCTGGTTGCAGTGTCGGAGAAGCAGACACTGGGGAGACCTCCGGTAGCTGACGTCGAGGGAGGGAGGTCTGTGGTACCTCAGGTGGAGTGTGTACCATGGCAGACTGGGCTGGTTGCAGTGTCGGAGTACCAGACACTGGGACACCTCTGGTAGCAGCGATCGAGGGAGCGAGGCCTGTGGTACCATGGGCTGGTTGCAGTGGATCAGGTGCCAGGGAGGTAGATGTAGCAGCTGCTGGGTAGGTCTGCGACAGCTGCAGTGGTCTGGGTGACTGTGAAGCTTGTGGTTGTTGTTGATACCAGGGTGCATTCAACATTGGGCACAATGAGGACAGCCCTTCATGCACCTGTCTCTCATCCCCATTGACGGTTACCAGTAATTCATCTCTCCCTTCAAACACAAAGAATGACTTTTTAAAAACAAAAAAAGAAGACTACTTCAATTTCAACAAAAAACATTCAAAACTTTATTCCAAACTTACTACCTATAATAATCCTATTTACTTGATATGCATGCGATATATAATGTGTTCTAAACTTATTTATTTCTGCAAAAGTACAATGAAGCAAACAAGGCAAAGGCTTATTTGAATGCTGCTCTGAAAAAAACCCACCTTAACAAACAGGATGAAATTTAATACTAACTGTGTGAAAATCACATGTATCTCAGTATGACAAATTTCTATCATTTGCATTTACAAGCTTAACATACTGAACAGAAACGTAAGTGGAAAGCATGTTTAAAGATTTTGAGGGAAAAATCAATGTCTTGTGGTTATGTTTTTAATAATGTGTTGAGAAATCTATGAAATGTACATATATCTGTAGGTTGTTTTTTTATCTAACTAAAAGAATCAGTTTAGGTAAACAACAACATTTGGATGCAATGTTACATTTTTGGGGTTCAAGAAAGAGTGAGTGAGTGAGTTTGGTTTAACGCCGCTTTTAACAGTTTTCCAGTTATATCACGGCGTGTCAGCTTAATGTGGGAGGAAAGCCCGAAGTGATGCAGGTCTCAGACGTTTACCACTTCGGTGAAACCCACGAGCACGGGTATGGTTCTGACAAACCTAGAAACAGGTTCAAGAAAGAATATATAAGGAGACATAAATCTCAATTCTCTTCATATAAAATGCAATAGTATACATCTACTTACTGCCATACGGATGATACCTCCTCCTTGACGCATGAATCTCTGGAAGGATGTCTGCGGACAGGACCTCCATATCATCCAGTGCATCCATTATTTCTACATGTTTGCTGAGGAGGCGTCGAAAGTCCCCCCACCACACACACACACACACACCCAGACATGGAGAGATATTTACCATTTCTCCATATGTGAACATATGTGGAGTTACCCTCCGTTTCTCAGGGTCTTGGTAGAGATTTACATTGATACTGGTCCAAGCATTATTCTTCACTCGTCGTTATTATTACTGTCTGCCATTTTTGAAAGAAAAATAGAGGCGAGCCAAAAGATAAAATGAACAGATTTTTGCAGCACACTTGTTTTTTATATCAGGAAATAAATACTTTTTGATTGACAGATGTTTTATTTAAACCTGACTAACAGCAGTTTGATAATATGTCATAGAAAGATAATCAATGAGTGAGTGAGTGAGTTAATATTTAACGTCACATCGGCAGTATTTCAGCCATATCGTGACGAGAACTGACATAAAATACAAAAATTTGAATGGAGTAAATACCTGTCATCGAAGGACAGTAAAAATAACTAGAGTATCACAGTTGTGATTTTAAAACTAGTTGAGAGCTTTAAAAAGAATACATTTTCAATCAACAATACAATATAAAAATGGGCTATAGATCACCAGCAACCAAAGTTAGGCCACCGTACTGGGGACTGTGGGGACTTACAATACTTTTGCTACCTGCACGACTCCCCAGCAGGATTTACACCATCCCTTCAGCCGCTGGTGATTATATGCAATTTAGCCAACACTTAAAATAAACAAATATTCTACGTCTAAAACTGTGGCAAGAATAAATGTACTTTGAATGATGTGGTCTTACATATCCTCTCTGGGGGACAATAATTTTACGTTACAGATAATCAATGAAGTTGTGAATATTGAACAATACCATTAGTAAAGTAAACCATCCCCTTGAACATCATTTGGTTTCAAAACGGACCAATCTCTATGATGTTCATAGAAGAGAGAGAAACAGTTGCGTATTTTGTCAAGTCAGCAACTTCCAATTAATTGAGTTATGCTTCATTGCAAGAAAAATAGGAATGGCGCCAGAGTGTCTGGACTTAAGAACTTAGGATAAAGATGGTACCGCTCTTGTAATGTGAATGTGTGGTCTTTTTGACAAAAGGACACCTGCGTCATTTTCTGACATAAAATTTACATAAATTAAGGATTTTTTTTATTGTCAGTTACCACATAGGTCTCTGAACACGTTCATCCTATTTAACGAAACCACCGTACCAAGACTCTTACTTTAAAGAAGAAAACCAAACCCAATCAGTGTAGACTAAAAAGCAAACGAAATAAAATGCTGTATCAGCATTCCATTGGGATGAGAAAAAAACAAATTTGAAAAGAAATGCCCAGGTCATCAGTGCAAAACCAAAATTTGAGATTTTTTTTTTATAACATTTTTTGGGGGGTCAAATTTTTGTTTAAATTTTCAGATGAAAAAAAGGAAAAAAAAAATATTCATAAGCTAGGTTTGCTACAAAATACAAAGATCACATGAAAACAGAAAAAAATAATTAGTTTAAGCAGATAATCCCAAAAAACCTTTTTGTTCTTTGCAATAAAAAGTACAAAGGCATAAAACACAACAAAGTTATTAAATTTCAAAAACACAAAAAATATATGTGTTCAAATACATAAAAAAACCTGCCAAACTTCACATGTTGAAAAGAAAAAAATGTCAGGTAAACTCTGCTTCTGCAATTTATATATATACTGAGAGGCAATGAAAACGCAATCAGCCTTTTTTTATCATAGAATAGTAACAGAGGAGAAAACAAAGTGATTAGTTATTGAAAAATGTTACTTAGCGTGATAATTGTCGTCTGTCGTCGTGTGTACAGACATGTTTGGTTGTGTGCACACCATCCTGAACAAAACACCAAAACACATCTTCAGCTTGCAGTCCGAAATGCACGTGAACGACATGATTTTTGAATTGCATGCAAACAGTACACATTGCTCCCCTATAAAATCACATCATGATTTGAAACTGGTGTCCATATGCACTATGCCGCGGTTAACCCAAGATCAGCGACACCAGGCCATTGGAATGCTGCGAGCTGGCAATCCACAGACTGACGTTGCACAACACTTTAATGTCCATCCATCAACTGTCAGTCGTCTCAGAAGGCGCTACCAAGTCACAGGCAGGGTGGAGGATCGGCCACGCCCAGGCGTTCAACGGGTGTCAACAGGACGTCAGGATCACTATATTGTCATGCAACACCTCCGACGACGATTTCAGACAGCTGTACAGACTGCTATCAACACTATCGGAAGCAGAGGAAGATCCACCAGCAGTCGAACTGTGCGTCGACGTCTTGCTGCAGCAGGGATACGGTCACGTCGACCGTACCAAGGTCAGATCTTAACGCATAATCACAGACTTCAACGACAGCGATGGGCTGCAGCAGTTGGTTTTCTGGGCAACGTCGGTTGGAGGTGTGTTGTTTTCTCTGATGAGTCTCGCTTTAACGTCTCTTTCCCAGATGGACGGCTCCGCGTGTACCGACGTCAAGGTGAACGTTATGTGCGACCTTGTGTTATTGAACGAGATCGCTTTGGTGGTGGAGGAGAAATGGTTTGGGGAGCCATAAATGTTGTGTTTAAATCACAGCTTGTTATTGTGCAAGGTAACTTGACGGCACGACGTTACGTGGATACTGTTCTACAGCCAGTTCTGCTTCCTCTCTTAAGACAGCATGGTGGAAACCGGCTAGTGTTTCAGCATGACAATGCTAGGCCCCATACTGCCATCCTGCCACGGAATTTTCTTCAGAGAAACAACGTGGAGGTCATGCAGTGGCCCTCAAAGTCACCAGACATGAACCCAATTGAGCACCTGTGGGACGAACTTGGTAGGCGTGTGAGACGACAGCAGATTCATCCGTCGTTTATGTGATTCCATGCCAAGGCGTTTGCAAGCTTGTGTTCGTGCTCAAGGTGGACACACCAGATACCGAGGATATGTTCAATCTCCCTCCTGTAAATGGGGTTGGAACTGATGATATTGGACACTGCTCTATACAGAATTTCTCTATCGTGATCAGTCCTTGCTAATATACTTAATACAAGCTTTGAAACTTTCTTATGTTAATAAAATTCACGTTTGAAAATTGGATTGCGTTTTCATTGCCTCTCAGTATATATTTTAAACTCAGAAGTTACATTAACTTTTAATTTATTTTTTTAAAGATGGTATATTAATGTTAGGGTGTGATCAGTGAAACTTGTTTGGTTACAACCTTGAGATTTCACCAAACAAGTTTCACTGATCACACCCTAACATTAATATACCATCTTTAAATTTTTTTTTAAAGAAATTGCAGGTTGTCAACATTTTTTTTTCTTGTCGTTGATTGGTGGATATAATGTCACATTGTACAATTTCTTACATATGCACGAACAACGCCTATATTTTTTCACTTTGGATTGGCTGTTATACAAATCTCCAACACAAGGCTGCACTTAAAAAGCAAAAAAAAATCTGGAGAAGTCACTCATAGCACTCTCCGCAACTGTTGGTTGCACATTGCTCACTTTCCATGTTGTGTGGTTTTTTTCTTGGAACCAAGTGTCTACAAGTCGGTGAGGTAGGTGAGACTCATTATCACATTTTGTAACTAACCTAGATGCTATTATAGTTGTTTTTTTGGTGTGTTTTTTAAGTTACACTGATAAAGACATAAAACCATCTCCAAATTATGCTCATTAGTTGAATTGTTTATGTTTTTTACAGACTGGTGGGCAATCACAATCATTTGTCAGACATGTAAATAAAAACTGGAGTGAGTTTGTCATCTTCTGTGGAGAAATTCTCAAAGGAATATGATTCAGTATGTCTAGTCACCCTACCTGCCCGGTTTATACATGTATTTCTTGTCAGAAATCTTTTTCTTCAAAATATACCTTATGGACACATCAAAAATCATGTTTTGAAACTCCTGAGCTGTTTCCCTGTGAACTGTGTTTGAAATCATTCAACAGGAAAGATAACTTAAGAGCACACCTTTCAAGAGTTCATGCCATTAGTCCAGTTCCTTATGTATTTTTGTTGGAATTTTTTGGAGATTTGATAAACTATATATTTTTAGAATTGTTAGGACATAGGGAACAGGAAAACTGATGTTCCCATTTTTTTCAGGGTTTTTATGGCGGCCATCTTGGCTTTTCAAAATGGCGACCAATAAAACACAACTTGTTCGATAACTTTGCCTCTAGACCACACATATTGTAAGCATTGCTGAATAAACATATGATTTAAGTAATCACGAATCCACCCAGACTAACAACAATCATCCAAGTATAATGTAAAGTAAGATATTTAATATGAAGAACCATTTTTTAACCACAAAATATTAAATTTAAAACAAATACACTGAAATAGTGTCTCTGCTTGCGATTAACATCTTGATACTTCTATCAAACAATCTTCATATAACTTCAAATCAGCATCAACAGTGGGCACACTTTATGATTGTCATTTTAATGTATCAGTAATCGTTTTCATCATCACTGTCATCTGAATCTCGGTTTTCAGTACGTGAGTCTTCATCATTTTCACACTGGGTAGAGTTTAGTGCACTTTATAAGCTTTTTGACCCGCAAGAACACCTCTGTGAGGATCTCCTTTGCATTGGCATCTCACCATCTCGATAATAGCCTTTGGTGCAGGAAGAACATCAGTGGTAGTTGGTCTAAGCTGACCTCCGACGTCCTTGTGGTAGTCATATTGCATCGGATCCAGTAGAACTTGTTGTTGAATGCTTGCCTGGCCTCAAACTCGAGCCTGTAGATGTACCCTCATTATGAGATGTTTAAGGGCACCGATTGTGGGTGACAGTTTATTACTGTCCGCCATGTACTTGCAGAATAAGTGCCATCGCAGCTCTGGAATGTTGCTAATTTGGATTCCTTTCGGACAATAAACAGAACACACAAACCTGGCCAAACTTTTCATCGGCTCTTCTGATAGTTTGGCGTAATATGAAAGCATCCTAATTATAAAGGCT